GAGCATGACACGCGAGCGTCGTTGTGCCGGGCCTAACTCGTTCAACGTGCACAAAATTGGGTAAATCGAAAAGTTTGAACTCTTGAACACGGGAGTGCCATCAACACTGAAATTGATACTCAACATATCCCTCACATAATTTTTTTTATATAATTTCCTGTCATAAATATCGTTGATCGAATAACTTTTCTCGCTACTCAGTGGATCAATAATATGATGCTCATAAGTTTCAAGAATTTGCTGCAATTGTGCAGACAGAGATAAGTAGATGAAAATATTCCCATCTTTGAAATTCTTCTTAGCATCTGTCTGGCTATCGCAATGATGAAAATTTAATTTCTCGTCTAGGTTTCCTTCGTGTGGACCAATGTGATGACCACACTCATTGCAAAACTGGTGGATAGTCATGTAGTTCGAGTACGTATCAAGAATTTTCTTCCACTGATATTTTGCCTCAGTCGCTGTTTTAGAATTAACCAGAACATTCATCATCTTCACGAAATCTTCACTAGCAGCCCAAGTCAATCGATGTCTGATTTTCGTCGCCATAATCAATAGAGTTCTGATTAAAACATCAAGGGGGTATCCATTCTGGAGGTCATCAGTCGTAACACTGTCTCCTGTCTCAAAATTTTCAGATTCTGAGTCAGCATCCTACGTGAAAGGGGAATGAGAGTATTAGATATTGATCATGTCAGTTTTGCATTCGGGATTTTAGGGTTGGTAGAATCCAGAAGCTACGAGCAAATGCCCACCTCCATTTCGTTACGATCACTGGCCCCAAAGTCCGGCATTTCATCTCTCTCCGTATTATTCAACTCATCCCACTCCCAATCATTCCAACTTGAAGTGCAATTAGGCCGTGAAAAATCATCTGTCATATATTCCTGTGATTATGGAAATGACTGTATCAGTTGAAAAATTCGAGACTTCTACTCATATTTTTTTGATTCTTCATCCCTAACCTGCCGTGTACGATCATCTCCGTTGGGTGGTGATGGCCACCCAGTCTCTAAGTTTTCCCAAAACCATTGGTGTTCGTCGGAATCTGACTCATTGGGACAATTCTCATGAAGTCTCTTGAAATATTTTTCAAGCGTTTGCACCGGAATTCGATTGACTCCTGGGATTAATTCAAATTATGAAATGAAGAAAACTGTCAAATATTGAATATTTCGTGGGGGGGGGGTGGAATAAAGATTACATGGAAAAATCCTTGACCAAGTAAACTGAGTTTATCGATATTCTACTGGATATTTTGCTAAAATTTAATTTTCGTGCATAGACGTGATTACGAGTACTTCTCGCTGGTTAGACCCGTCGATGAACAAAACGAATTCAATGAATAGTGACGAGAATTATTATTATTATGATATAATACCAGAGAATTGAATAGGGACCACTTGAAATGCAAAATACGAATATGAAAGAAATCGAGAGAAACGTCGAGATGTGTTTTTCTTCCCCATGAGATCAAAATTCAAGTTCCTCGGATGTATTATGCAGAAAGCATCAGTAATAAATTCATCCTAATAAGTCGATCACCTTGCTCTTCTTCTCGCCATCCGATATCGCTTAGTTCTTTCAGGCACCTCTTCAGAACTGCCGAAATTGTTGTAGAGTTTATAACGCCTCTTTTTAGTTCTCTCTTCCATCGCCGATTCAATAATTTGAGTCGTTTATCGAGCCATTGAGAATGTAATGCCATTAAATTCCGCATTGATTTGAATTGAGGTAATATCCCATTTACTTGTTTTTTGAATTGAGGTTCAGATGTCACAGAGATAGTTTTTATCGATAAACGAAAACTCTTCCAAACCTCCAGAACTTGCAAAATGGCAACGAAGTGAGTCCTCGAATTGATGAAATGATTATTCTTGAATAAAATATCTGCATTGTCATCGGTGAATAATTTTCTTATCTATCGATTGAAGGAAAGAAAAAAAAGGAAAAAAAGGTTCACGAGGAAAACTGCACGCCTTAATTAAGTGGATTAATAAGGATGATACATTCACTCCAGTCCCCTTAGAGTGGGTTAAGGAATATGACGTGGATGAATTTCTGCGTACCCAGGATGTCGACTCGGAACAATCGTACGCGGTAGAGTGGCGGGATAGAACGAAAGAACCGAAGAGTTGATGGCGTTGTTACGAGGGGATTGTCATGGCCATTTCAAGTACTTCTAATTGAATTTTGGATTTACCTAGAGAATTAATTGTGGCTTTTTCAACATCAACCACAATAATTTCCCCCTCCCCCTCAATAGAAAGTGTCGCGAAACTTGATAAATACATCGATGAATTGAAAGGTACAAGATCTCCAATGAAGGTCCAGAAAGCAGAGAACTCCCCATTCCTTCTGAACAAACAGAACAAAACTCCTCTGACCAGACTGATAATTTCGATGAGGCATTATCACGGGTAAAACGAACTCGCTGTGATACTCGGTCTCGTTGGACCTCGTATTATCGGCTGCTGATCACTGGCATACGATTTTCCTTTTGTTCTCTAATGCAAACAGATTTTCTTTCATTCGAATTTCTTTTTTTACATCCTGCATTATCCAGGAAGAGCCAGCGATATATGAAAATACACCAGCACTCAACAAAAGCGAAAGGGACCAGAATAACAAGAAGCAGGATGGAAGAAATGAGGCATGTGCATCATTATCAAATAGTTTTTGTCACTGAAGTCTTACATTGATATTGATTAGCTATTGATTCCACTCATTCCTAACGATTTTGTAAAGGCTCAGCATTCACCATCATTACCAGCACCATCAGCACCACCATCATTACCACCATCACCACCACCAAATTTTGAGATGAACAGTGAATCATCATCGGTAAATGGATTTTGTTGAATTGATCACGAATTTTTCACTCAGTGATATTCCCTCTCTCTTCTTACTCCTTGTAATTCTTCGTGCATCATCTAGGAATCAAACGATCGTCCCAACTCATCATCAAATCTACGTACTAATTCCAGTGTCCTGCATGAATCATTTGAACTCGACCACGGGAAAAAAGTAATGAAACTCATGCTCAACCATCATGTTTCATTTGCTGCATATATACAATCTCTTTTAAACTCGCTCTTTTATCGTCAATGAGAAAATTGACATACGAAATTGAAATTAACATTAGCTCCATTGATTCAACAGAGACGTCACTAGAATGACAATTCCTGAGGTGGGAAATATTTCAAGCCTTCCACCTGCACACATCAACAGAATTCTTGTAATGGTGACCGAGCATCCATGTCTGGAGGAGCCGTGTCGTTGAATGACCTAATGATTACTATACAAGCGTCTAATAAAAACTTCATGCAACTGCAGAACAGAATGGATGTTCTTGAAAATCGTCCTAATCCATCTAATGCAGGCCCATACGTACACCAATTTTCGCAACGTGCTGTGGCTCCCCCATGTCCTCCAGCAGTTGATAACACAGAAAATATCGAATACGAACGTTATTTAACCCTGGAGAAGGTATTGAATTTAGAGGATTTTTTATTAGGAACCCCAATAACACAGAAAATGTTTGCAATGAAGGTGGAAATTGGTAGACCTGGAAGCACCGTATGCGTCACCGCAGATCAATGGGAGACAGCAGCAGACAAAGACACCTTCCCAAAAATGACATCCTCGCTACTACTAGCTTTATTCCCTGAAGATGTTCTATTGCGAAGCAACTTGAGAGGGGGAAAGAGTAAAATAGAAAAAGATGCTGAGCGTAATGAGGCCCTGGATAAACGCTATCTCAAAGCACTTGAATGTAAATGGACCACTTACCAACTTCAAAATATTTTCAACTACAAAAAAAACATTCCGTCATTTCCTCATCGATTAACTCATTGTCCAAGTGAATACATAATTCACTTGGTTAATGGCATGATCTCCACCGACAAGTGACGTCCCCCTTGCCCTCGGCGTCATAGACAATTCAACTATTCTACGATTATAATTACTATCATTATTATCATTCCACAGATACTGTTCGCAAAAAATTCCCCCAGACTTTTATTAAAAGAATGTTTGGATCCTGCATCAACAATAAATTGGGCCAAATGCGTCGAGAACATTATGGTCGATGAATGACATCGAATAATAGCCTCAGAGTGGATTTTCTGGAAGCTGAATTAAATATTGACTTTGTTTAAATTAAATTGACTGAGTTGACCAACGTGCACGCGTGGTGATTTGTGGACCTTCTCCCGCTCCCATTAAAATCCATTTAAATTTCGCCCATCTCCAGTAAATATTCCCGAAACCAGATCCGAACTCAAACATTTTGGTCCTTCGAGCCGGATCGGTGGAATATTTTTCGGTTTTTTGTTTGTTTTTTCGCGGCATCCGTGTTTTTCGCGGGAGTACGGGGACGCCAGTGCAGTGCCGTAACACCTGATCAGAGGGCCCCGCACCAGTGGTCCTACTTACCNATGTCGATCCCGTTCATCGCCCCACCCCTGTACTCCGTCTTCAGGGCCGTATCTCCAGCATCGAAGGCCCGTTACAGAATTTCCGCTCATCAGGACCGTATCAACGACGCTCCAGGCCTACTCCAGGAATTATTGACCAACTTTGGGTATCTTGGACCATCGGAAAGCCCTAACGACCTACCTCAGGGTATTACAGACCTGCGCTGAAGAAGGAGGTGGATTATCGTAGAGCTCGCTCAAAAAGGGAAGTCAAATTAATTACAATTTTTTGCGCTTCTCTGGGAGTTTGCTGATTTTTCCTCAAGTTCGGCTGCACGTGATTTATTTTTTTTTCTCGATTTAACGCTTTTTGGATCTGCGTTGGAGTTTCGGGCTACGCTTTGTTTTTCACATATTGCTTTTTCTTGCTTTTTGACCTGCGTCCTTGGCTCTTTGTTTATTTTTGAACATCTCTCCTGGCACGTTCGCTTATTGTTTTTTATTCAGTTTTTCGTAGCAGTCGATCGAGGTTGTGGTTTTTCTTGTTGGTTTTCTTTCTTTTTTTGTTGACAATTCCACAAGATGGCAACTCTCGAAGCGCTGATCTCGCTGCAGATGACACGTGCATCCTTCATCGAAGGCATTTACACGGAGTCACAGGAGGAGAGCATCCAGCAGTTCGGAGTGACGGCTCTGGATTCCAAGCTCGTCATGCTGGAAACGTATTGGGCGAAGCTGGAAGCGTCTCATGAGAAACTCGTCGACCAGAAGGTCGAGAATTTGACCTCTCTTGATTATTTTAAGAATCAGGTCTTCGATCTCGCGCTTAAGCATTACGCTTCAGGTAGAGTAGCGCTGTTGCAGCTGTTGGAGAAGAAGGGGGCTCCTAACCTCAACCAATCGGTTCGAGTTCCTGGCGACGCGCAACTACAGAGTTCAACGCGCAGAGCTCTTCCGGAGATTGAGTTGCCGAAGTTCTCTGGAGTGTATAAGGAGTGGAGGCCATGGAGAGACCTTTTCCATTCGCTGGTCGGGAATAATCTGGAGATTCCTGGGGTCGAGCGAATGCACTACCTCCGTCTCTGTCTCTCCAATGAGCCGTTGAAGCTCATCTCTAATTTGCCCGTCTCTGAAGATTCCTTCGGCATCGCATGGAGAATCTTGGTCGATCGATACGAGAACAAGCGCTTATTGATTNTGAAGTGATATAAGGAGTGGAGGCCATGGAGAGACCTTTTCCATTCGCTGGTCGGGAATAATCTGGAGATTCCTGGAGTCGAGCGAATGCACTACCTCCGTCTCTGTCTCTCCAATGAACCGTTGAAGCTCATCTCTAATTTGCCCGTCTCTGAAGATTCCTTCGGCATCGCATGGAGAATCTTGGTCGATCGACACGAGAACAAGCGCTTATTGATTGCAGCTCACCTTGACCAGCTTCTCAATCCTGCTCCGATGAAGACGCACGGTGCCTCAGACCTTAATTTATTGACGAGCTCCGTTTCTGAGGCACTCACTCAGCGCGCTCAAAGCACTGGATCAGCCAACAGAGCATTGGGGTCCAATCGTCGTCCACGTGCTCACTCGTCGCTTGTCCAACAAGCTTCGTGAGGCATGGGAAAATAAAATCGGAGCNATCTCAAAAGATGCGCGCTTTCTCGAGCTTTACTCTGACTTTCGCAAGGAGTATGAGGATCTCGACCATATGAGATTAGTAACTCGCTCGACTCATCGCTCTTCGTCTTTGGTTCAGGCGGATTCCGCTTGTCGTTCTGACCAGACGACCTTAGCACATGAAGCGCAAGCTTCAGGAGGGTTGAGGGTCTCTGAAGGGCTTCAGGTAGGGCCGTCTGACGCTCAAAGGAGNACCGACGCGGGCTATCCTTGTTCCTACTGCAAGACGGATCACTACATCGCTTCTTGCAGCGGGTTCAAGTCGCTTACATCAACAGCAAGGAAGGAGGTTGTGGAACGACTCTATCTGTGCTACAACTGTCTGGAGAAGCACAGTATCAGAGTCTGCCAGACCACTCGTACGTGCAGGACACGCCAGGAGAGGCACCATTCCCTGCTGCATTTTGATCGCTCTCGTCGTCCAGCTCAACGTGGTCCAGCATCTCAAGTCCCTCTCAACGATGCAGGAGCTCAGCGCCCGAGTGCTTCTGCTCCTTTGACCAGCGTGCCTGTCGTGACGTACACTCACAGCGGTGATGCTGCTCAGGCTGCGTCTTCAGCCCATCCTGAGGCCTGAAGCGGACCGTCCCAAGCGTCGATTCCTTGTTCGGCCCATAGTTGTTCTGCGCAAACCTCTCGGCCTGGAATCCTTCTCGCAACTTGTTTAGCTCTTCTAGTGAGCGATTATTGCCCTCCGCATCAAGTTCGACTCTTGTTGGATTCAGGCTCCGAACTCTCGCTCATCTCAGATCAACTAGTACGGAAGGTGAATTTAAAGAAAACTCGTAGTTCTGTCCACATAACAGGAGTGGGAGGATCATCGTTTGGNTGAAGCTCTGATCCCTCGCTGTCTGGCGCATAGAACGCACCTCAGGATGAATGATCTTACCGGGGCTCTTCCTCCGAGGATCCAGTAAGACCTTCGGAGTTGACCGAGAGTCAGCTGCGTTCCTCCATGCAGAGTCCTGAGATGGGCATC